CATTATAGGGTTAAAACCGTTTTGGTGATGAGCAGATAGTTTAGGTTACCCTTTATGAAAAGGAAAACAGTTCTGTAGGAATATTGTATGGGGATTTTTATTTAATTCGATATATACATGAAAACTTGCTGGTAAAAGACTATATGTTTCAAATAAATTAATTTGAGAGTAACATTTGGTCTTTTAGGTCAACAGAAGGGAAATAAATCCACCAAATCAATGACACAGACTGTAAAAAAATATATTCCGGATCTGTGGAGTGTGCTGTGTGAGTTTGTTTTCCCCACAGACTATATTACTATGCAGCTGATCTCTCCTCGCAGCATCTGCCGCTCACGCACACGTGTATGCCGATATGTCCTCCACCAGCATGTGCAGGAATTAAGAGTCTTAAAATAAAACAGGGAGGGTTTCAATTTAAGTTATAAAAAAACAACTTTAGCGTGCATGGCCTAAAAGCCAAAGAGATGGTTGGATGAGGATGAAATAAAAGGAATGATCCTCTTACAGATCAGGACTTCAGTCCTGAGGGGCGTTGCTCAATTGGACGTAAGTAAACTCTCAGAGCTCATCTCATAATCAAATAGGTTGTAATGGAAGAAGAAAAAAAGCCTTTCTGATCAGTTGTACCGCTGAACGGATCACCTAAATCTAAGCGTGGATTTTATTACAGAGCATCAGACTAAAAGGGGCTGAGTAGTTTTTTCAGACTCTAATTTCTTTCACAAGTTTATGCTGCTTTGCTATGATGTATCACATGAAAGTCGGATAAATTAAATTGAAGCATATGGCTGATTTACTATGCTAGCTTAATGCTCCGACCCACAGAGAAAGCCGCTCACTGTCAGGAACAGTTTAAATATCAAAGCTCAAATGCACAACTGGGACTGACAGAAGATTTCTCGTCTTCATGTGCTGCATTTTGAGGAGGGGGTGGTGAGAGCATGGCTTCTGTTCCAGAGGTAACTAACATCACGTCAGTGGTGCGGTTGTGTCCGCAGCTTGCTGAATTATTGCTGGGTTTTCACATTTGTGAGACAGAGACCATGAATTTACACCATTCCCAACTTGGTGAATGAACTAATTTACACCAACAGATCCTTTTTCTGCTCTGCTAATTGCGAAACATCACATAGGAACAACGTTCACACACAAATAACATCAATAGCATATTTTTCATTAACGTTTTGTGTGTTTCCTGCTCCAGGAAAACGGTGTGGAGTTTGAAGCTTGCCTTGTGGCTCAGTGTGACTCCCTGATCGAGGCGCTGACGAGACAGAAAGCAAAGCTGCTCACCAAAGTCACCAAGGAGAAGGAGTACAAAATGAAGGTATGAACCACTGATCTATGTTTTTAGGGGCCAGAAAAACCAGACATGATTCAGCATCTGATCCGACAAAAAAACAGGCAGTATAAAGTGACAGCAATTACATCTGGTTGAAAAGAATGGCACCGCTCTAGATTCTCTGGAACTGTTCCTGCATAGTCTTAACCAAGGTATACCTTGGAATGTCATGAGTCAGAGAAGGATTGACACTGACAAAGGAAAATCCATTTTGAGGAAAATATAAAATTAAATCCTAAGTTGCAAAGTAAATTATCCAGATATGTCCAGAAACACACAGCACTCTTTTTGCACATGTATAGCAAGTGGAGCAGACTGGGAACTATTAAATTAATAATACATTTCAATACACAGTGTGCCTATTCATTGTAGGAGCTCAGATAAAGTTAAACATTGATGCTCTTGGAGATTGTTTGACCAGCTACTGCAGTTTACTGTGAGATGAATGTGAATTTATCAAACACAATCACACCTTTTATGCATTAATAGTTTTGCTGCTCATGCAGTGAGGATCAACAAATGTAAGCAGATAAAGCCAAAGACATGACAGAAATGTAATAAAAGAGTGATCTACTATGTACCTGCAACATTATGGAAAACAAACTAATTGTCTTATAAAATTTGTCATTTCTAATTATTTAGGCCTTTTGAAATATTTGTATTTCCTCTCTTTTGGAATAGTATTTATGATGAAAAAAGGCAAAATTTTTGTATTTTCCTCATGGATAACATCCACACCGAAGAGTGTTACCACTAGAAAAGCCTGTTACCACTTAAGTGTGCTGCGTTCAATGACCTGCCAGGCTTTAAATAAAGATTTACTTTGTGCTTTTCAAAAATAAATCAGACAAAGTAATATCTGAAAAATGGTTAAAACTAGAAAACAAATATTTTATAGTTCACCTTTATAAAGGTACTAAATGTTTGCTTTAAGACACGATAACTGTGGAGCTTTTTTTGATTTTTTTCTATGGATATTTTCTGGAGGAAGTCAATTATATATATATATATATATATATAAAAAAATCTAGATCCAATAGGCAAATTACAATAATTGATTATCAAAAAGAAATTACGTATATTGTGTGTTTTTACCAGAAGTGTCCACCAGGGCTCAGAGGTAAACTATGAACTGGTAGTTGGTCTGATGGTTGCACTTGTTTTTTCTCAGCCTAGTTTGAGAACTTGCACTATTGTGTCACTACCCTTGTTTATACATGTAGTTATAAATAGAGATTATTAAAAGAGACTAACCTTCCTGCAAATCCATGTTCTTCCTGTTCTGCTTCATAATTAAAACAATAGTGTCATGAATCGCGGACAGATGGACCCAGTATTCAAGGAGAGACAGTCAGTAGGAAAGTTCAAAACGTTTATTAACAAAACAAAAACTAAAGTGGAGCTGTGGCTCGCGGACGCTGCAGGAGGGGGGCGGGGCAACGCCCAATCTCAGACATTCTGCAGGAGAAACACAGGTAAGTGACCACGATCATCTGACAGAAGATGATTATCTGAGTTGGTCACTTACCTGGTTTAACAGTCCAGTCTAAGAATGTCCCCAAGTGCTGCAGTCCCAGAGGTCATGCTGGAAGCCGATCCTGGTCAGGGATCCAGAACAGACAGGAACAGACAGAACAGGCAGGATCCAGATCAGGCAGGAACAGAACAGGTGGCAGGATCCAGACTTCCAGGCATCCACAAGCTCCCAGGAGGGTTCAGAGTCTAACAGGGTCCGAAAGCGTGACCAGGTGGTCATGCACAGGAGCAGACAGGATCAGGTGCAGATAAGCAGGCTCAGTGGAAGAGGGTAGCCGAGACAGGGCGTGGAACCAGAACTTGATGCAGGACTTTAAACTGGTCTCGTCCCTGGAGCCAGGCTTATTGAGATAAAAACTGAACCTCCCCACATATAGAGCCAAAAACCCAGAGGACTCCGCGGGGGAGGAACAGTGGACGATCAGGAGACGAGACAAACACAAAACCCTCTTTCCACTGGCTGCCAGGATCCAA